TTGTGTATGGCCATTGAGCAGGAGGCGTTGAATCAGCAGCTGCAAGGAAAAAGAGGGAGTGAATCAAAGAATACTAAAGGCAGCAGGCTTGTGACAGTGGATGGAGTCAGACATGGACATGGATATGGAAATGTTAGGCTCAAGGAATAAAGGGAGGAAAGGTCATGGCAGTCCTACCATAGACCTAAACAGACACCAGCCTGACATGTCCCCAGTACTGCCCATGCCATGATCCCACAAACATCTTTGCACCCCCATGGAGGACCTACACCTGTGAGATTAGAGAGCCTGTTCTGCCCTCTCTGTGCAAAAGTGGGTATTTTGCATGACACGAATTTCAGCACCAGGCAGCAACAGACCCCAGGATTTCCTCTCTCTCCTGGCTCTGCATGGCTGCTTCCCACGGAGGACACCAAAACCACCCAGTGTGAGCTGCTGGAGAGCTGATGGTCTCTGCTGCCCACCCACCTGCACAGATGACGCTGGCATCCTCCATGTGCCCACAGTTGTGCACGCCCCAGCCGTTGTGCTGGCACATCTGGAGGGAGGGCTCGTCCCCGCGGCACTGCACGTCGTCCAGGAAGATGCGGCCGGAGCCCAGGCCAAAGCGAGCATTTCTTGGGGCGTCTACGGGCCGGCCACAGCCCAGCTGCCGGCACACCACCTGGGCATCCTGCAGGTCCCACTGGTCATCACACACCGTCCCCCAGGAGCTGCCGTCGTACAGCTCCACACGGCCTTCACAGCTGTTCCTGCCGCCCACCAGCCGCACGCTGCCTCCTGACACACGGCACAAGGACAGGCTACCACACACTCTGCAGCCATAGCCACCAACTTCCCAACTGCTTTGCAGATTTTGACACAGTGACCATGAGCTGGACTAGGGCAGAGCCTAAAGGGATCGGAAAGGATTGTAACTGGGCATACACTCCAGGCATGCAGACAAGAGTCTAGCTCTATCCAGGGACCTGTTGGTGTCCTGTTGGAGCTGCCTGGCTGCTGAAGTCATTGAGGCACTTCCAGAAAAAGCCTTTGCAACCCTTGGGAGTGAACCAACCCTGATGTGGACAATTTGAGCACTCTGGAGTTGTCATGGGCCAAGGCCATCAGCAGCCTTGCACTGAGCAGCATCAGCGCTGCTTTAGTCCCCTCTTCTCATCTCGTGTCAGGCTGGGCCTCAGTAAAATTTGGGCAAAAGCTGCGTGAGCAGGACCTACCTGATGTGAGTGGCCATGGAGTAGGAGTGGTTGGATTGGCGGCTGCAAAGAAGAAGAAGAAGAAGGAATGAAGAAAAGCGTAGTGAAGCTTGTGGCAGTATATGGACTTGGATGTGGACATGGTCATGAACATGGACATGAAAATTCAGGACTAAAGTGGGAAGAGAGCTTGAGTCCTGCCTTTCCCCCCCACTCTGACACTAGCCAGACCTGTCCCCAGTCCTGCCCCATCCTCCCCAAAGAACAATTCCACCCTTCTGCTCTTTGCCCACTCATTTAGCTGCAAAAGCAGGAAGTGTGGAAAAGGCAGTGTGCCCTCTCAGTGTCAAAATGTGTCATTTGCATCTCAGAGGACTCAGCCCCCGGCGGCAGAAGACCTGAGCTTTACCTCAACTGTGGCCTGTCGAGGGGAGCTCAGCTCAGCTGGTCCCAGAGGACAGACCCAGAACCCTCTCAGAGTGATATGCAAAGGGCTCGTGTTCTCTGCTGCCCACCCACCTGCACAGATGACGCTGGCATCCTCCACGTGCCTGCAGTTGTGCCTGCCCCAGCCGTTGTGCCGGCACATCTGGAGGGAGGGCTCGTCCCCGCGGCACTGCACGTTGTCCAGGAAGATGCGGCCGGAGCCCAGGCCAAAGTGAGCGTTTTGTGGGGCGTCCATGGGCTGGCCACAGCCCAGCTGCTGGCACACCACCTGGGCATCCTGCAGGTCCCACTGGTCGTCACACACCGTCCCCCAGGAGCTGCCGTCGTACAGCTCCACGCGGCCCTCGCAGCCGTTCCTGCCGCCCACCAGCCGCACGCTGCTTCCTGACACACGGCACAAGGAACAACATCAGCTCTCCAACACCTCAGCATCCACAGCCCCCTCACACCTCCCCAAGCCCCCTCACACCTCCCCAAGTGTTTCAGAGATTTTGCCACAGAAACTTTGATTTGAAGTGGTGCAATCCTAAGGAGAGCAAGGAAGGGGAGTGAGAGAACAAATAGCCCAGGTGTGTGGAAGGCTGATGCATAATGTGCAAGGATCTTCCTGGGAATTTGATGAGAACAGCCTGGGGACCCTGGGAGCAGCTTGGGGAAGGGGAGTATTTGCCAGAAAGCCATTTTTGCACAGTGATCATGGGTACGTGGCATGATGGGTCCCACTCATACACCTTGCAGATGTTTGAGACTAGGGGCCCTGAGAGGGTATCCACAAGGGACTGGCCACCTCTGCTTGATGGTTGCAAAGCAGCAGCCGTGACCTGGCATCAGGACAGATACCTGTGTCTTGGGCTGGCCTGGGAAGTGCATGGGCTTGAAGGAAGGGATTGCCCCCATCTACTTGGTACTTGCTGCCCCACAGCCAGGAGCCATGGAGGGTCTGGCATAGCGGGGCTTGGACGGGGCAGCACAGCAGCTGCCATTCTGCTGAGGCTCAGATTGTCCCTGGCAGAAGCCCTCAAATGACAAGACCCTTTGCTGTGGGCAGAAGGGACCAGCAACTCAGCCCAGCAGGCCTAGTCTGTTCTCCTCTTGTGCCAGGGTGGGGCTCACTGTAAAACTGGAAATATGCAGGGTGGGAAGGAATTACCTGTTGTGTATGGCCATTGAGCAGGAGGGGTTGAGTCGGCAGCTGCAAGGAAAAAGAGGGAGTGAATGAAAGAATACTAAAGGCAGCAGGCTTGTAGCAGAGGATGCACTCGTGGTGTGGTACATTTTTATATTTTGTTATGAAAATGGTTTGTCCTTATGTTCCCCCATGCTCCCCTGAAGTTGGTTTGTCCCTAGGTTATACCCTCCTCTAGGCTGCCCATCATTGTGTGCCCAACCCCTTAATTCTGAACCTTCTCTGCCTGTCACCACAACCCTGCCTTTTGCTCCCCATCCGTCATTGTAAACCCTGCCCCTTGTTCTGAATCTTTCCCTGTCCATCCCTTAATCCTTGAGGCCCTATTAGTCTGTGTGGCCTGCCTGCTCCACCCCCTTTTTCTTATTGGCCCGTGAGAAGTAATCCACTCCCTTTACTCCTCCCTTCTGCATTCCCATTGGCTGTTTGTTTGTACCCTCCCACTGGATTTTTACTGTGCTTAATCCCGTGCACAGCAGTGGTCAGGGTTCTTTGGTCCCTGACCCCTTCAGTGAATAAATCCTTCCCAGGAACCCAAACCAAGAGCCTCTTCCTCATCCTTTGCTTCCCCCTTCTGCCAAGAACTGAGGGTGTCGTAGATCATCAGATCTTAGGTTCAGCTTCTCTGTCTTCAGGCAGGAGCTGCTGCCCACTCCCAGCGTGGTGTGTTGGAACTAAATCTACCCAGGACAATGCACCGTTTCAGACTTGGGCATGGGCATGGACAGGAGCATGGATATGGAAATGCTAGGCTCAAAGAATAGAGGGAGGAAAGTACATGGCAGTCCTACCATAGACCTAAACAGACACCAGCCTGACATGTCCCCAGTACAGCCCATGCCATGATCCCACAAACCTCTTTGCACCCCCATGGAGCACCTACACCTGTGAGATTGGAGAGCCTGTTCTGCCCTCTCTGTGCAAAAGTGGGGATTTTGCATAACACGAATTTCAGCACCAGGCAGCAACAGACCCCAGGATTTCCTCTCTCTCCTGGCTCTGCATGGCTGCTTCCCATGGAGAACATCAGAACCAGCCAGTGTGAGCTGCTGGAGAGCTGATGGTCTCTGCTGCCCACCCACCTGCACAGATGACGCTGGCATCCTCCACGTGCCTGCAGTTGTGCATGCCCCAGCCGTTGTGCTGGCACATCTGGAGGGAGGGCTCGTCCCCGCGGCACTGCACGTCGTCCAGGAAGATGCGGCCGGAGCCCAGGCCAAAGTGTGCAGTGTCCAGCGCAGCCACGGGCCGGCCACAGCCCAGCTGCCGGCACACCACCTGGGCATCCTGCAGGTCCCACTGGTCGTCACACACCGTCCCCCAGGAGCTGCCGTCGTACAGCTCCACGCGGCCCTCGCAGCTGTTCCTGCCGCCGACCAGCCGCACGCTGCCTCCTGACACACGGCACAAGGCACAGGGACGAGCTCGCACCAACCCTGCGCTCTGCTGTGCCCATGTGGGCCACTGCAACAGGGAGCCTGCATGGCTGCTGCAAGGCCAGGCATGGGGGGCTGGAGTTACCTGTGGAATGTGGACTGGCACTGGTGGGCGATGAAGCTGTGGATGCAAGGAAGAATTTGGTGTCAATGACAAAGCTTCCAAAGAGATTCAGCAGATGTCCTGCAGGTGAGAGTACCCATTTTCTAGGATCCCCTGTCCTGTGATTCCTACAACATCCTGCAGAGCTCTTTCACTCATCTGAAATGATCATCCTGACTTTGCTGTTTCACTCGCTGATCAGGGAATGAGTGTGGGCAGGGTTATCTAGTGTGCTCCCTTCCTCCCTTGCAATCCGTGCTGTAGTGGTCATCTCTTCTGACGTTGTCTCTGCTGAGGTTGTCTCTGTTGAGGTGCCTGTCTTTGGCATGAGGGTTTTTTCCTTGATCTTTTGCAGTGTCATGGACATCTCTGCTCGGGAGGTAGTTCTTACAATGGCCACAGCATTTGGTATGACAAGCAAGGCTGGATTGTCAATGCTGGTAGAGGGGGTGAAGCTCTGTGCAGTCATTTCTCATAGAGTCACCAGCCCAAAGTGCCCTGAGTCCCTTCCCAGCCTCCCAGCTCTGTGATCCCTCTTCTCTTTGGCACCTCTCAGAAACCCTATTCCTGCTGGCCAGGAGAGACTGTTGTGCTCTCTATGTGCAAACAGGGCTTTTGCTTGGCACACACTCTGCTCACCAGGCAATAGAAAACACTAAGGTTCCTGTTTTGCCCCACATTTACCAAGAGAGGTCAACATGGCTGCCTCCAAGGGAGGGCACCAAAATTCTCCAGTGGGAAATGCCCCAGGGATTACTCAGTTAAAAGTTGAGAAGCACTAAGAAGACCAGTGAGCAAGAGATGACAGGGTTACCTGGTGGGCTCCCCTCTCCTCCCACAGTTGTTTCCTCTGAGGTGGTCATCAATGGTGAGGTTATCATCTTTGTGGATGTGGACATCTCTGCTGAGGTGGACACCTCTGGTGTGGCACTGGATGGTGCTGTGGTGGAAGGATATATTGGGCTGGATGTTCCTGCTAAGGAGCTCATTACTGCAATGACAATGGACATGGGAATGGACATGAAAAGCAGAGCTGGACAATTAATGGGGAAGAGAGCATGGAACTTTGTCCTGTCATTTTGGGAGTCTCCCTGCAGTGCAGTCAGGTCTGGGAAGGAAGTCCAGGGACACTAGAGAGAACAAGGAGTGATAGTGGGCAGGGTTACCTGTTTTGCTCTCCTCTGCTGTGGTGTCTGATCTCACTGTGGTGATCATATCAGGCAGTGGTAGGGCAGTGGATGACATTGACAACTCTGATGAAGTGGACATCTCTCCTGGGGAGGTTATTAGCCTTGTGTTGGTTGTAACCTCTAAGGTTGTCATTGGCACTGTGGTGGCAATCTCCAGTAGGAAGGGTGTCTCTTCTCTGGGGGTTGATGGCACCATGGTGGCTGTCTGCAGTGGGGGTGTCACCTCCCCTGTGTTGGTTGTTAATTCAGTTGTGGCCATCTCCCTCAGGGATGCCTTCTCCTCCAGGAGGACTGTTGATGCTGACACTGATGTCTCTCTCAGAGATGTTGATTGTGTGAATGTTGTCCCTTCTATGGAGGTTGTCTCCAGTTCTGAGGCTGTTGTATCTGTTGGTGTTAGATCAGACTCTTCTGTGAAAAAAGGAGAAAAACACCCCACACGTGAGCACCATGCAATGGGTACATCTGTGTGATGGCTACAGGCCCAGTTCCTCTAGGATGAAGTGAAATCAAGAGCAGTTACTCTGATGGGATAGTCTATCTTGTCTGGGGTCAATGGAGAGAATGAAAGTGGGTAACAACCAATTTAAAATTTCTCTTGGATACTGTATTTCCAGATGGTAAGCAGGGTGTGGCATCTGCTCCCAGCTCTGGGACACCACAGCCCAGGCACAGCCCAAGACTCTACAGCTCCTGTCATGGAGAGGGGAGCTTTGGGGCTACTGGCAGAAGCAGGGCTTGAACTTGTCACCATCATGAATGCCCTTCTGCACAGGATCAGGACATCCCCAGGAACAGCCTGGGTCTTGGGATGGTGCTTGGTGCAAGGGCAGGAGTTGAGCAGGCTGAATAATCTGTTGAGTACATCCAGCCTGTAGAAGGCCCTGGAGCTATGAATGCAAGCAAGAAATAAATGGCATTTAAAAAGGCTCTGAACACATCACACATAGATTAATAGAGGTATTGTAGCAATTTTTACTTTTTTCTCCTAAGTGAAAAACACTGGTGTAGTTAGCACTTCCTTCTAGCATGGATTCAGCTCTCCAGGCTCTTGCTCTCTAAGGAAATGTGGAAAACTGCAGTATAGATATAAAACATCTGAACAATATGTTGTCATCAGCCATGTCTTGGTTCATGATGATCTGTTGTTAATACATGAGAAAATAAGATACAAATAACCCACATTCTCCTAAAAATAATGGAAAAGTAAAATGAACACAGCAAGGTGAAAGCGTACTCAAAATGGATGGATATTTGCAGAGGAAAGAGGCATTAATGGGCCTAAACAAAGGAAGACTTGAAAAACATGGAAACAATCCAAAGTGAATTGTGAGCTATGACAATCTGACCTGTGATTGTGAAATTATTATTGCCCATAATGAATCCATTGAGAGTTCACCTAACCCCATTCATCCATGGTAAACTTTGCCTATCAAACACAGCTTTGCCTCTAATTTTGAATTGTTTCCTTATTGCTACCACCAGGTGATTAGATGGAATAATTTTCTGCGTATCTGCAATGTATATCTGATCTTTGGGGTTTTTAATTGCTTTCCATGGGCGAGCAAGCGCAGTTTGACTATAGTGAGAAAAACATGAGTCCATGCTGGTTCTGCAGGGTCAGCAGAGTGAAAGAACAGGGAAGAAAATGTGGGAGTACCTGAACAGACAACAGAAGCATCTTCATAGTGATCACAGTTGTGGATCCTCCATCCCGTGTGATTGCAGCGCAGCAAGGACACCTCATCTCCGCTGCACCTCACGTTGTCCAGCACGATGGGACCCGAGCCTTGCCCAAAGTAGGCACTTCCTATAGCTGCAATGGCCTTGCCACATCCCAGCTGCCTGCACACAACCTGGGCATCTGCGAGGTCCCAGAAGTCATCACAAACTGTCCCCGACTGTCCTCTGTAATAGATCTCAACACGACCTTCACATGGGTGCCTTCCGTTCACCAGCTGGACATACGGAGCTTTGGGAGAGAGGGCATGAGCACAAAACAGTCAGCAAAATAAGCTGGAAGGGACTGGAAGGAGTGACTGTTCCGCTTTCTTCCCCTGTTGTTCCTAGAAGTTGTTGCCCAGCCCAGTATTAAGTGCCTGTGAGGACAGAGGTGACTTATACCTTTTTTATTCCTCTCCTCCAGATCTCAAAATCACGTATATTTTATGCAAGATCCCTGCAGTAAAGTTAGGCAGCAGACTAAGCAAAAATGATTTAAGCAAGAAAATAAATTTTTGAGACAAGTTTAAGGACTTAAGAGTCCACACATCACCAAATCCTATAGCTTATAAGAGTGACTTTAGTGGAAGAATTCCACCAAATGTTCTACAGAATGGATGATGGTCCCAACAGGATTAAAAGATTTCAATATTTCAGTGGCATTCTTACATACCAGCAAAATGTTATTACATTTTGAAATAAAGAAATAACCTATCATGTATACAGCTGATTATTGCAGTCATTCAGGTAAAGCCCATCTGCTTTTCAGTTTTATATGTCTTGTTTAGACATTCTGGTGTGACCAGCATGAAAATCCTGATTTTAGAGATCCATTTTTGGTGAAGAAGTTTATTAAAGTCTTTATTACCAAGTGTAAGCAAGCAAATAAATGTTGTAACTTTGGATTTGCAGTGTTTGCACTCTAGAAATCAAAACATTCAGCTGCACTTGCTATATTTTACTTTGCTGCCAAGTACATATTTACCTTGTTATTAAGTACAAAGTCATCCAAAGCAAAACAAATCTCAAAAGTTCACAGCTCCAGGATTTCTTCACTGCACCTAATTCTTTGCTATAGAGCTAGAAGTACAGTCAAGATGGTGACCAAACTAAATTTGCCCTGATTTGTATGACTTTCAAAGAACAAAGCTATAAAAGTGGTCCTTGACTTATATCTGACTTGTTCCTGCAAATATCTACTTGAACACACACATTTTTGAGCCCTACTCACAGGGTTCTTGAGAAGTGAAACAGCAAACCTGGCAAAAGTCAGAGTGGGATTTGGAAAGTAAAGCCGATCTAAACCAGTTCTATTTGCTTTCATTCAAGGCCTGTCATGACTGTGAGAGCATAACCATCAGCTGGGGATGAAATTGGAGAGGTTGAATCCTGCCTCACACTTCAAAGGTATCAAAAAGACAAAAGCCTGTGATTATACAAATACAACAAATACTCTGCTCTGGGACACAGAGGCAGAGAGCAGAGAGAAGAACTAGAGCAGCCAAAGTGAGATGATTTATGACCAGAAAAGCAGGAGACAGATGAGAGAATTGATGAGGTGAATGGTGGCAATATAAATTATCATTATGAAGCTTAAATAACTCATTAGAAAAGTCATCAGCAATTATTCTAAGATATACACAGAACTGTTAACTCAAAGTCACCCAAACCACTCAGGAGATAGAAAGTAATCATGAAAGGAAAAATTCTATGACTATAAAAAAAATTGAACTAAAAGTTTAATCTCTCATAGTTTTTAGATGTCCATCATTTAAACACAGTGCCAGTGTGAAAACTTCATGTTATATTCTGTAAAATTGTACATAATACCAAGAAGAACCAAATAATACAAGCAATATTAAATATATAGCATATGCGCGCACACATATACTCTGGAATAAATACACATTGAAAATAAGTAAAGAAATAAATCTTTCCATAGTATTTAGATCAGATTTCTGGAACTGGAAGAATCCTTCATGACATAATCACAGACACAATTCTTGCAATGATACAAGGCACTGAGTAGGACCCTGTGGCAGCAAAATGAACTCCACAAAATGGTTCAAATCATTCTTATCATCCACCCTGATGATTAGTTCATAATTGTACTAGAACAAAACTGCTCTTTCATCCAATTTCCCCTTTATTCTATTGCCCAAACCAATACCAGCCTGAATCTAATTTCTGCTCTTGGAATCAACAGAGAGGATTCCAAGCAGTCTATCATTTTTTTATGTGCCCTGGAACAAGTCTAAGTGTTTTACCTGTTTTTGCCTCCAGAACTGCTGGACCTAGCAAGAGTAGCCATGTTAAAATCATAGTGGTACCCATCTCAGCAGGTGGTGTTGGTAAAAAGGACCTCACAATATATAGCCTCTATTTCTGGAGGGGAGTGGCTCTACAGGTCCCTTTTTCTACAGCAGAACAATAAAACAACCACAGTCCTCTGATCTGGAACAAACATATGTTTGATTTGTTATTTAATATTTTGTAACTTCCTGGGTTTTGCAGAAAGACAATATCTCAAGAGTAACATTTTCCATTGCCTGGAAGGAACTATTTATGCTACCATAGGTTTCACAATCATCTCACTCTACCAAAAAAAAGAGAGCTCCTGTCCAAAGATACCTTTCCATTCTGGCTGATGCATCTCAGCACTTTTCTTTCATGAGGAGGTTCCTGGTCAGGTATTGGGATGTGAGTGGAATCTTGAAACTTAAATGGGTTTATTCCAGCAAAGTAGCAAGAGACCCTTGCCAACTGATGTGGCAGATCTCCTTGGGGAGCCATGAATGTCCTAAAGCTTCAGCAGCCTTTAAATAAAATTAGATCAGACCTGGTGGGCCTATTTAAGAATGACTGGGGGGTCTCTGAAGAACCTTGCAGCCGAAGTCAACAGCTCCAGCCCCAGCTGGACTAAAAATAAATATTTAAATATATTAATTTAAATTATTAAATTTAATATATTAATATACTAATATATTAATATATCAATATATTAATTAATATATTAATTTAAATTGTTATATTAAATTACTTAATATTTAAATATAAAAATAAAAACTAAAAAAACTTTATTTTGGGGCACATTTAAGTTCAAGCCAAAATTCCAGTCAAAATTCACTGACAGACAGGTTGCAGAGAAGTGTCAGAGAATCAGGGTCAACAGATAACTTTTTGTACAAACATTGTGGAAAAAAATCAATGGATTTTAAGCATAGTGAAGGAAACTACATTGCCTGAAACTAATTTTATTCTAAAATTTCATGTGATCCTTTGAACAAAAAAATCAGGGAAAAAAAGTTCTGATTTCTTCAGATTAAAAAAATGTCTTAATATATTCCTTGTTTAATTTTATGTAGTCACAGTGACAGCTGTATCATTCTTTGAAGAATGAATTCAAGGGTTTTCCACAACATGAAAAAATGGTTTATTCTCATTCATCACTCTCTTGCCAGAGTGGTTACTTTCCTCTGTTTCTGTGTTTCTAACAATTTAACAAGAAAATCTGATGATATTCCTAACACTGAAGAGTCAGAATATTGTTGTCCATCTCATCCCTACCTCCACAGCCATCATGTCTTGCATGGAATTATCACCAGTTAAAATTGTTGCCATATACCAATTTATTGCCTTCAGGGACAGTCATCAAGCAGGAAGATCAAAGCCCAGGGGGAAAAGAGAATCATCTAAAACATCTTTCCACAAAGGCCAATATCATTGGAATGGAAGAAGGAAGTGAAAAATAAGAGGCCAAAGATAACTTTGGAAGCCTTGAAAGTGAGCATTCAGAATGGTAAATATGTTTCTTCTTTATCCAAACAAGCACATTTGCACATGAATGAGGATATGTACACAACACCTGGCATTCACTATTCATATTCTGGTTTTGACACCTTGTATTTGACTTGCCAATCAAGCCCTGCAGTCAGTGAAGCAAGAGTGAGTGATGGATCACAGTTCTTCTGCAAACTCTTGTAATAACTGAAAGAGGGTGAGAAGGAAGTGGAACACAAAAGGGATTCCCAGCTGGTTCAAGTGTAAGAAAAAAAGTCTTCAGCTGCCCAGGTAAAAAATGAAGACTGATTGTTTGATTGATTAGTTCTTCATTACCTTCTTCATTAATAAATTATTAATTTTAAATATCTAGATATTTCTAGAGATCTTTATTGCCAAACAATCTCTGCACAATGGAAATAGATAAATAATTTGTTTTAATTAACCTTAGTTAATTAATGCAAATACCATACAGTATTTCAGCCTTCCCACTGGCTAGGTAAATCTCTTGCAGTAACACATTTTTGTTGTCAAGGTCTTCTTGTAGCAGCTTAAGGTATTTCCCAGCACATCACTCTGAATGAAGCCACATTGAGCTTTGAAAACAGTTTTTCTTCTGCTGATAATTGTGAGGGCACTTTGCAAACATACTGGGTTTTTAAAGGTAAGAATGGAAACCACTGAAAGGACAAACAAGATTAATCAGCTTTCACCCATGATTGTAGGAAAGTATCTGCACTGGAATAAGGATAATAATAAAGATATCCACAGACTTCTCCACAAAGGAATGATAGTCTGAATCCAGGCAGGAAGGTTTGTGGCAGAGAAATCACCAGGCACATGACCCTTTCCTCATCATCAAACACAGTTTTCTTGAATCCTGCATTTCTGTAATGCTTGTGGATCAAAGGAGACAAAAGGAAACGAGGAGGAGTCTGAGACATCTATTGCCTGAACAGATGGCAACACTTTCTGCAGCAATATTTAATATGGAAACCAATGAACTTGGTAATTCCACCTTGCATTTTTACCCAGCCTTGGTATTTCTCCACTTGGGAGCCCTGGCACAGACATGCTATGGGAAAACTCAGCTCTGAGCAGCACAGAGATGGGTGAGGATTGGAGACACCAGGATCTAGGCCTGGGATATTTCTGCTTGTCTGGTGAAAATAATATTGAGAGAATAGGAGAAGTGGAAAAAAGTGCCATCAAGCTGTACCCTGCAAGATGGTGTGGTAGCAACACCACAGCAGCAGGGCCACAGCAGGAACAGGGGAAGGAGAACACAGCAGGTCTGGGAAGAGCAGAGGGGAAGGTCCTGCTCTACAGAGTTAGGAAAGGCCAGGTCCAAGAGAGTCCTTGCTGTGCTGAGCAGATGGCTGGATTGCTCTGAGCCTGGACAATCTCTGGTCCAGGGAACAGAAGAAGGCAGGCCAGCCTCCTGAGGTGCCCTGCCCTCCAAAGGTGGCTGGAGAGGGGGGAGGAGGACCCTAAATCCTTGTTCCTCAAGTGTGGGAAAAACCTCTGCAGTGCCAGTCCCTACTTGTGTGATCCCTTCTTCACATCACAGAGAGGTGCTGAGGGGCCTGCCTGGAATCACGAGAAGGCAGCTTGAGGGAACAAATGGTGCAGGCTGTGGGGCTGGTTCCCATCAGAGCTGCCCTTATCCTCCTTGTCAAGTCAGGATGTCACACCAAGAGTACAGTGAGAGCTTCCTCACACGTCACCGCGTTGGCTCACCTCACACATCTGACCTTGCTCGGTTCCAAATGAACTTACCTCTTTCACAGCTGGCTGGGAAACAGGAAAGTCTCAAGAGGGGCATTTCTCAATCAATACCAGTGACCTTTCCACCTGTATTAAGTAGCTTCTTCCAAACAAATTCTTCCTTTTTTATTGTTTTTTATTTTGTTTTCGCATGGGGATGAGACAGGTCACACTTCCTTATGGGAACTTAACTTACATTCTCTCCCTCCCACCAATTCCAGGTGTAGAAATGTGTGAGAGCAAGAGCAGGAATCATTGCTTGGCAAAGTCACTTTGTCAGAAGCCACACTCCCCAACCCAACAACGTGTTAGCCATGAGTTCACACACACAAGTGGGATGTTTGCAAGTATGCACACAAAAAAGTATTGCTCAAAAAAACATTTTCTTTCCTTCTTTTTTTAATTACACATTTATGTAATGAGATTATATTCATCCTCTGTACAAAATCTTATAAATGGCCTTCATTTACTTAGAGAAATATGAATTTGGGAAGAACCATACTGCCCAAAGTCAGGAACGCTGTACAGCAATAATTCCTCACCTGCAGCCCCTGAGCCTATTTGTTTATGGCACATTATTGAGATTTTTTTTACTGCAAAGAGACGTTTTCTTGTACTACTTCTCAGTGTATCTTATGGTGCAACACAAGTGTTTCATCTGCATATCAGCAAGGGCCAAATAAGTCAGTTCTTGTTTCTCAAGTCACCTATTTCAGTCTTCTCAGACACTCAACGAGTTCAGTGGAAAAGCTTTGAAATGTGCAGCACTGAAGATGCTTTTTTGGGATGAAAGGTCAATCCTTCTTAACACCTGAGGTGTATTTGGACTAGATTTTAAAACCAGATTGCTTTATAAATTCAGTTCATGGTAACATCAGGTGTAATCTTGATTCTTCAGACATGGTCTGAATGGTGGAATAGTCAAGTAAGAGCTGCCCTTCACACTGATTGCAAACCCAAATAATGAAGCAGGTGGCTGGTGAAAGTGTCCTTCCACCTCCATGTCTGGAGCTGCCTCTCACATTTTCTGGTATGGGATGGCCTTCTGCAGTTTCTTCTTCAAAAGAAATCCTCCTGCTGTGAGAACAGCAGCTAGCACCACCAGGGTGGTCACAGCCAGGGGAATGTGGGAGCTGCCAGCAGGCACTGAGCTCAGAGTCTTCCCTTTTGCCCAGATGTCAGAGGCCAGCTCTGTGCATAAAAGAGGCAGAGAGAAACTTACTTTCTTTTCTTTTTTTCTTTTTTTTTTCTCTTTTTTTTCGGAGCTAGTTAATTGCAAAGATAATTAGGCAAAGACAATTTGAGTTAAAAAGCTGTAATCTGTATCTGATGAGAAAACTGCATGCTATTTCACAAGTGGTTCTGTGGCCATGCAAAACAAGAAAAGATTGTGGCAAGGAATTAAAGAGAAACTGAGAGTCAGTAATGGTTACACTCAAAGACCTTAAGACGTTGCTTTCTGGTAGTGGAAACAGCAGCTACAGGATGCTGAGAAACATTTCCAAGAGAACCTAGAGATTGATTATAAATAAATAATAGACATGCAAATCAGGCACACACAGCTTTAGAAATTTAATATTAATACAATTAATATTACTTATATTAATATAATTAATATAAATCCAGCAGGGAGATTCTCCTCCCTCTTCCCACAGAACTGAATCAGTTCCCATTTGATATGTGCAGAACAAAGAATGGATCTAAACTATGATAGAAAGGAAAGCTTGTAAATCTAATAGAACTATTTCATATATATATATATAAAAAAAATTATAATCCTCCATAAGAATTAAAGCAGAATTGTAAATAAACCAGCAAAGACACATATCAGAGCTGGATTTCATGTCTGAACTGAAATGCAAACAGACAGTAACACACAGAGTCTTACGTTAATGAAGATATTTAAACTTACCAATGTTCCTGTTCTCAGCGTGAGCTTCCCGAAGCTGCACTGGTCCAATAACAACATTCACTTGTTTGTGGGAAGAATATGCATTCCTCTTGAGCCTGCTAACACAGCCTTGATAGCAGCGGGAGGAGTAGTCGTGGTACCTGCACACCACCAGCTGACACTGCAGGAAAACTGATGGGAATCGGTTCATGAAGGAGAAAGCGCTAAACCCAAACCGAGCGACATCGCTGCGTGCCGAGGAGAAAAGAGAGTAGGTAGGATCACTAGCACACCTGGAAAGATATAAAATCAACAGATTAGCTGCTAACTCACAGCTTCTCTTGTCTAGAAGCACTATTACATGCTCTCTTTGCAATAAGTTTCAAGGTTAAATATAAAACCAGGAAGTAAAAGAGAAATCAGAAGGCTTTTTTTTAAAAAAAGGGCTTTTAGCAAGAAGAGAAATTACTAAATGTACACAGCGCAGAAATTTCATTGCTTAACAAGTTCTGTGTAAACATGAGTAGCTGAAAAATGGTTAGTGGTTCTGCTGGGTTCTGTGCTTCAGGTGAGAGCCTATTATGCATTTCCAAACAGGATTAACTGTTTGAGAAGAGACCCCTGAAAGTTGTTGCAGAAAGTTCCCCTTTCTCCTCTGGAAGCATAAAACTAATTTTAATACACCTCCTTCATTCTTTTTTTTTTTTTTTTTTTTAATAAAGATTCTCTTTAGTGCTTCAATGTACTTTGGTGTAAAATTAGGCAAAGTGGTTTAGCTTTCTAGTATGTAAGAAAAGACTAAAGAATTCCTCTACTTTTTGAGTAGACAGTTTTGTATTCCAGTTATGATGCTGTAAAATTCATGATGTACCGAAATGTAGAGCCATGGACATCCCTCCTTTTCATACATCTACTTCAGAAACGAAGTCAGACCTCAATGTCCTCACTGCCTCCTTGAGTGAAATCTCAGTGCTTGACTGAATCTTCTGAATGACATTTTTCTGTCATTCTGAATTTTATTCAGGCTTTGCCAAAAAGTTGTTCTTACAAGAACATTTGCCCTGAGAATTACAACCAGTGTACACTGGTCCTAAATCACCTCATTTCACAAATTAAGCTCTTTTAGAAGAAACATACAGAAACAGTTTTAAATTAATTTTTTACAAGGTTCTTACCCACTTTTGGTCAATTCATAGCCCAGTGTTCTAAAATCACTAGAATTAGGCGATGCCACGCATGTGTCCACAAACACCGTCAGATTTTGGTCAGAGCTGTGAAGAGAAGCTTGGAGGAACAAATTCTGATTCATGTCAACATAGTATGGGAAGTCGTGCACTGGCCACTGGAAAGATGAGGAGTTGTAGAAGGTCAGGTTCACGTCGTATCTGCCATACTGGGTTTTGTTGACATCGGTGACCTCATCAGCAATGTACATCACTTGAACCCAGGTGTTCTGCAGCATTTTGCAGCTGATGTGCAAGTGGAGGTCCTTTTGCCTCTTGATGACTCTGCCAGGAGCAGGCACTTTTATCACGTTGGAGTAGGTGATCATTTCGTTGTTGCCCTGTTTGACACATTAAATGAGTGTTAAAGTGCCACATGTGGTCATGCTCACTGTAAATACTGAGTATTATGAACTTCTGTATGTGCCAGATCCTAGCAGTCAGAAAGGATGTGTCACACAGAAAAATCCCAAGCAGCCAGGATGGGATTGCTCACTCAACTCTCCCCTCTGTTTTTGTTCTCTAGAACATCATTCCAAAATAGATACAGGGAAGGATATAGGTACCCTGGGAAGGATAAGTAAATATATTTAACCAACTTCAGGCTCCAGAAACACATGCTCCTTTCCTGAGTTTTGCATGCCTGTGGCCTACAACACCCTTTGCAATCCATGACAATTGTCCAAATGTCTGTTAAATTCCCATGCTCTTCCAAATATCTTGACACCAACCTGTCTATGTGTACCACAGTCGCTGTATAAAATATCGAATATAACCTCAGTTGATGTAATTTTTGGTCTACATTTAGAGTCTGCCAGGCTGATGCTCCCCACTGAGTAGCCCTGGGACTGGAGATAGTGTCTGTCTACCACTGCACGCATGTAAGTTGGCAAGCACAGAAGGGCTAGGGGGAAAAAAATATGAATTATTAGTGATTTCAGGTACTTGATAATGCTTCCATATTGCAAGTCTAACAAATGCAATCACTGCTACCATTTAGAGAAGAGAATTCATAAGCCAAACCATTTATTTTTATGCTTGAGACTTAGATATCAGTAAGCAATAGTCACCCAAAGTAGTAGCTTTAAATATTTCATCCTTTGAATATTTCTAGACACACAGCTAGGCCAGCTCTTAATGGGCCTGACCTGGTGTCGGCAGCAGCTCTGCTTTGAATAGCTGGCCTTGGAAACCTCCAAAAGTCCCTTCTAACCAACATTTCTATGACCCTGTGAAAGTTTGTCCAGAAAGGTACAAATATATATATATGAATTATGAAGTGATACAAAGAAATACGAGTTCAGAAAATAACATAGAAAACTTCTAAAGGCAAATAAATGGAATTTTTTTAAGAAGAAAAAGTAGTTATTTTCTGAATGTGAGCGGTCAATAATCAGTCACAAAATTCAAGTAGGAGTATCAGCTATGTGGGATTCCTTCAACAACATTAACAAATACTTATTTAGTAAAGAAAGCATTAAAAAGTTTAACTCTAGTAGCATAAAAAAAAAGTAACAAAAAGTAACAAAGCTCCTGAGCAAAGAAAACATTACTGAGAGAATAGAATTACAAATAGAACAGAAATTTACTGGTGTTCTGGTCTGCTGGAAAGGACTGATACTGAGCCTGAAAACTTCCACTGGAATATCTGGAGTCACTGTAAAACCTGACAGACATGAAGTTTGAAGATGAAGTGTATGTGAGAGGAGAGCTAGAACAAATTCTTCCAAGTGAAGGAGAAGATTTGGGTGGCCCATCATAGATCTCAATATAGTCATTCTGGCATCCACCTTGCAACCTGAGGAAGAAAAGAGAATATATAAAATAATGCATTTGCTAAACCTTGGGGTTAAAATGCTGAACAAACTATATGATAGTATTCTGCACTCACACATCTCCCATGTATATTTATCATTCAATTATAGTATGGGAAATGTGTCCAGGAATTCTGGATGCAGTTGGGATTTGGAATTTTCTTATTGCCCAAGCAGAAAGTGGTTTACTTACTGAATGTTATCAAATGTGAGCGCAATGCGGAAATTGTTTGTTACATGTATTTGCCACAAACAATCTGCTTTATCTGAAGCATTCAAAGAAGGACTCTGAAATGTTCCGGAGGACTCAAAAAGTATATCACCACAAATAACTTCTTGACCTGAAGAAGGAAAGAAAAAAATAAAATAAGGGATAGAAATAATTCATTTAGATTTACTTCTGATCAAATAAAAATATGTTTTATGTACAGAAACCATGCAACACAAGGTTAAATCTCAAAAGAAACATAATGATCATGTTCCTCTCAGGCTACAAGAGTGATGAACTTTTCAGAGAATTACGACCTGTGCTTGCAATTATTAACTTCGTGGTCTTCAGGCACACAGGTATGAAGTAAACTGTGGTGGTCTAAATACCATAAAAGCAGAGAATGAACAAAAGAAAATCTCCTGTGAAATCAGCATGCTCTGAAATCCACCCCCAGCACTAAAATCACCCAAACACAAAAGACCAGTGTGTAGCATATAAAGAGTTAAAACCAGTAAGGATTTTCCCACTGTACTATACTATGCAAATGAAACAGATCCCACTTACAAAACAGTAATTATTACACTTCCAGGGTAATCAGAGAAATGGTAAAAAATATATAAACATATATACCTGGAGCAGTTGTAACAGGGTCCGTGCTTGTGGCATCTGTATGGGAAAAAGGGGGCAGGTGAGACACTGGAGGATGAAGGAGCATGGCAAGGTTTTCTACCACCCCCGGGGATGTTGGTGCCACCCTGTCACTTGGGATATGGAGAGCCTGGGGGTCTCAGCAGAATGTTCTCACATGGTGGGATCAAGCAATGACATGATCCCACACTCATCCCAAACATTCATCTAAAGTTCAGTCGACACAGACCAGAAGGAACATCCCCTTGCCAGAGCCTTGGCAATGCTCAAGGAATTTAAGGTTCCAAGGACTCAGTTTCAACTGCAATCTGCTGTGCTTTTCACAGGCTCTACTTTGGAGAAGATTAAAACCCAGACTATGAGATATTGATTGTTTCTGCAAAAACAGTGACCATAAAACCTAGGAGGGAAGTCAGACCCACCTGTAGGAGTAGAGATGGAGGGGCTGGGCATATCTGTAGTTGTGGCAGCTGTAGGGGAGGAAAGAAAAGAGGCCTGTTGGGTGAAGGACCATGATTGGCTTTGTCCCCAGGCTGGGCATGTTGCTGCCACCATGGCATGTGGGCAATGGAGAGCCTGGGGGTGCCAGCAGAACGGTGTCTCATGGTGGGATCAACCAAAAACATAATCCTGCACTCATCCCCAACCCACAGTGAATTCCAGCCAGCAGGGGACACTTTCTGAAAGAGTACTAGAATGGAGGCAGTCAAATCAGTGTTACCTGAGCACACAACACCAGCATCTTCACCATGGCCACAGTTGTGGACACCCCAGCCATTGTGGCTGCACTGGAAGAGGGACGACTCTGACCCTGTACAGCTCACATTGTCCAGGTAGATGTTGCCACTGCCTTGTCCAAAGGAGGCACTTGATGTTGCAGAAACAGCAGCTCCACACCCCAGCTGCCTGCACACCACCTGGGCATCATTCAGGTCCCAGCCATCATCACAGACGGTGCCTTGGCCCCCAGAGTGTGAAATCTCAACACGACCCTCACAGCGGTTCTGGCCGTTCACCAGGGTGATGGTGCTGGCATCTGGGAATGAAGGAGGTATAGAACACTTGGGGAGACAGTCTAGCACAAAGGCACCTTCTCTTACCAGGGTGATGTCATTTTCAACCTAGAAATGAAACAACTTAAACTTTTGGGATAATTTTCATAGAGGAAGTAATATAAAAGTGGATTTTTATTGGATGTCTCCAGGACAGTTCTGGAAAAACATACACAAAAGCCCACCCTCACGGGGGTACATACAGCTCTATATGCTTGGTAAATCAGCATAATTGACAAAACAGCACCAATCAGGAGCACAAGTGGTGATGCAGTTTCCCCCAGTCCAAGACCCTTCAAAGTCCTCTCTGCCTCAGATGGGACTGTACTTTGTTGATGAAAATGCATCTGAAGAGCTGTTTTTTGGCCTTGGTCACCAGGAAGAACCAAGATAGCATAGGGATTCTGGAATGAGTTTTGAATTCCTGTCTAGGAAATGCAGCATCTAGGTTACAATCAGAAGCTACAAAGCTACAAATATTTGTGTAAAGTATACAGAGAATATATAAAGGAAAAAAGGTAAAAACCAAAAGGGCATCAGGGCCTTGGAATCACTCTATGAGTTTCAGGCCACCACAATTCCCAGTCTCAGCTGGGTTGACCTGCTTTTCCTGACTTCTCCTCTCCTATGAAGGAAACCAAAGCCCAAACTCTGAGGCACTAATTGTTTCTGCATAAAGCAGTGGCGAGAAATCGCAGGAGAAATTCAGACCCACTGTAGGAGTGGGGAAGGGGGTGCTGGGAGAGGTGGTGCCTGTGCTTATGGCAGCTGTAGGGGAGGAAAGAAAAGAGGCAGGTGAGGCCTGTTGGGTGAAGGACCATGATTGGCTTTGTCCCCAGGCTGGGCATGTTGCTGCCACCATGGCACGTGGGCAATGGAGAGCCTGGGGGTGCCAGCAGAACGGTGTCTCATGGTGGGATCAACCAAAAACATAATCCTGCACTCATCCCCAACCCACAGTGAATTCCAGCCAGCAGGGGACACTTTCTGAAAGAGTACTAGAATGGAGGCAGTCAAATCAGTGTTACCTGAGCACACAACACCAGCATCTTCACCGTGGCCACAGTTGTGGCTGCCCCAGCCATTGTGGCTGCACTGGAAGAGGGACGACTCTGACCCTGTACAGCTCACATTGTCCAGGTAGATGTTGCCACTGCCTTGTCCAAAGGAGGCACTTGATGTTGCAGAAACAGCAGCTCCACACCCCAGCTGCCTGCACACCACCTGGGCATCATTCAGGTCCCAGCCATCATCACAGACGGTGCCTTGACCCCCAGAGTGTGAAATCTCGACACGACCCTCGCAGCGGTTCTGGCCGTTCACCAGGGTGATGGTGGCATCTGGGAAAGAAGGAGATATAGAAAACTTGGGAAGAGCATCTTGGACCAAAGGCACCTTCTCTTGCTACAACCTGCACATCATTCTGTGTCTTTCAGGCCACCACAATTCCCCGTCTTGGCTGGGTTAAAATGCATTTCCTGGTTTCTTCGCTCCAAACAAGGAAACCAAACCCCAAACTCTGAGGCAGTAGTTGTTTCTGCAAAAAGTGGTGGCCAGAAATCCCAGGAGAAATTCAGACCCACTGTAGGAGTAGGGAGGGTGGTTCTGGAAATGTTTGTACTTATATTGTGGCTGCTGTTGGGGAGGAAAGAAAAGAGGCAGGTGAGGCCTGTTGGGTGAAGGACCATGATTGGCTTTGTCCCCAGGCTGGGCATGTTGCTGCCACCATGGCACATGGGCAATGGAGAGCCTGGGGGTGCCAGCAGAACGGTGTCTCATGGTGGGATCAACCAAAAACATAATCCTGCAATCATCCCCAACCCACAGTGAATTACAACTAGGACCACATTCCGAAAGAATCATAGTACACATTCAGTCAAATCAGTGTTACCTGAGCACACAACACCAGCATCTTCACTGTGGCCACAGTTGTGGCTGCCCCAGCCATTGTGGCTGCACTGGAAGAGGGACAACTCTGACCCCGTACAGCTCACATCGTCCAGGATGATGCTGCCACTGCCTTGTCCAAAGGAGGCACTTGATGTTGCAGAAACAGCAGGGCCACACCCCAGCTGCCTGCACACCACCTGGGCATCATTCAGGTCCCAGCCATCGTCACAGACGGTGCCTTGACCCCCAGAGTGTGAAATCTCGACACGACCCTCACAGCGGTTCTGGCCGTTCACCAGGGTGATGGTGGCATCTGGGAAAGAAGGAGGTATAGAAAACTTGGGAAGAGCATCTTGGACCAAAGGCACCTTCTCTTGCCACAACCTTCACATCATTCTGTGTCTTTCAGGCCAGCACAATTCCCAGTATGGGAATTAAGCTGATGTTAAACTGCTTTTCCTGACTTCTCCTCTCCTATGAAGGAAACCAAAGCCCAAACTCTGAGGCACTAATTGTTTCTGCATAAAGTGGTGGCCAGAAATCCCTGGAGAACTTCAAATCCACTGTAGAGCAGGGAAGGGAGTGCTGGGAGAGTTTATGCTTGTGTTGTGGCCACTGTAGGGGAGGAAAGGAAAGAGGCAGGTGAGGCCTGTTGGGTGAAGGACCATGATTGGCTTTGTCCCCAGGCTGGGCATGTTGCTGCCACCATGGCATGTGGGCAATGGAGAGCCTGGGGGTGCCAGCAGAACGGTGTCTCATGGTGGGATCAACCAAAAACATAATCCTGCACTCATCCCCAACCCACAGTGAATTCCAGCCAGCAGGGGACACTTTCTGAAAGAGTACTAGAATGGAGGCAGTCAAATCAGTGTTACCTGAGCACACAACACCAGCATCTTCACCATGGCCACAGTTGTGGCTGCCCCAGCCATTGTGGCTGCACTGGAAGAGGGACGACTCTGACCCTGTACAGCTCACATTGTCCAGGTAGATGTTGCCACTGCCTTGTCCAAAGGAGGCACTTGATGTTGCAGAAACAGCAGCTCCACACCCCAGCTGCCTGCACACCACCTGGGCATCATTCAGGTCCCAGTCATCGTCACAGACGGTGCCTTGACCCCCAGAGTGTGAAATCTCGACACGACCCTCACAGCGGTTCTGGCCGTTCACCAGGGTGATGGTGGCATCTGGGAAAGAAGGAGGTATAGAAAACCTTGGAAGAGCATCTTGGACCAAAGGCATCTTTTCTTACCAGGGCTTTGGAATCAGTCTAGGAATTTCGGGCCACCACAACTCCCAGTCTTGGCTGGGTTAACCTGTATTTCCCAGGGAAAGGACTAAACACAAACCTCTGCCCCACTAACTATTCAGTCAAGAGGAGTCACCGGAAAAACATGGACAGACATTCAGACTCACCTGGAGGAATGGACAACTTTAACCTGGGTGGCTCCTCAGTTGTGTCATCTATGTGGAAGAAAGAAGTTACAGGTGAGCTGTTGGTGGGTGAAGGAGCACAGCCAGGTTATTCCCACGACTGGGGATGTTGATGCCACCCTGTAATCTGGGAGATGGAGATCTTGGGGGTATCAGCATGGTGATTTTTCATTGTGGGATCAACCAAAAACATAATCCCACACTCATTCCCAGCAGACATCCAATTCCAGCCTACAGAAACCACAAGCAGGTGCCTTTCTTTGCCATGGCCTTGGCAATGATGTGTGAATTTCAAGTTACCATGACCCCCAGTCTCACATGCATTCAGCTGTGCTTTTCCCAGACTCTCCTCTCCCTTTTAGAAGACTAAACCCCAAACTCCATGTCACTAATTGTTTCTGCAAGAAGCAATGTCCAGAAAACCCAGGAGAAATTCAGACTCACTTGGAGGAGCAGAGAAGGTTAATCTGGGTTGAGTGATATCATTTGCAGGGGAGGAAGAGATAGAAGCACTAAGACCCTGCTGGAAAAAGGAGGATGGCCAGGTTTCTTCCAGCACTGGGGATATTGGTTCCACACTGTCCTGGGGATCTCAGCAGGATGATATATTTATCCCTGCTATTTAACTCATTGCCAAAACACACCTAATTCCAGCCAACAAACACTACAAGCAGGCACCTTCCTTGGTCGGGGACTTGGCATCGTTCTACAAGTTTCAGACCACCAGGAGTGCCAGTCTTGGCAGCTGGTACAGTTATGATGTACTTTTCCTGGCCTCTACTGCCCCGTGGAGAAAACCAAACCTCAAACTCCACAGAAATTACTGGCTTCTCAAAAGCACTGGCCAAAAATTGTGGGCAGATTCAGACCCACCTGGAGGAGCAGATGACATTAACCTGGGTGTATCAGTGCTGGTGGCATCTGTAAAGAAGGAACAGAGAGAAGCAGGTGAGTCCCTGGTGGGTGAAGGAGCATGATCAGGTTTCTCCCAGAGCTGGGGATTCTGGTGTCACATGGGAGATGGAGAGCAATGTCTCAATCTCAAGGGTGCTCTTCTGTGGAAGGAGCAAGAAAACCAAGAATTTTGGGACACATCTTCCAATCTTGTGGATTTTCATTCACTGGCAACTTTCAAGGTCATATATAGCTCTGAGCATCTTCTGCTTTAAACTGTCTCTGCTTCTTTTTGGAGATGTAAACCAGAAGTTTATTAAAGTTGCCTTGTAACCCATATCATTCTCTGATTCTGTGACTCCATGAGTCTATCTCTTTAGGATTATTGTTGCACACTTCTGCTTTCAGTGACTGAATTTACAATACATCTGATCAACAAATTCAGATGAGGTACGTTTTCCCTAGAGAGCTGCATCTTCTGGGATGCAGGTCTAAGCTCTGGTCTCTGCAAAATAAGAGATAATTAGTAATGTCATATTCCACAAGGGCATGGCATCCTCACAAAATTATCTTTTCAGTTAATAAAAGGATGTAAACAGAGACAACTGAGGGCCAATCTGCCAATTAGAAAACCTATTTTTCATACATGAATGTTTGGATTAATGTTTGATCAGACTAAAGAGAATAATTTGGATTTTTGACCAATATTTGAAATTTTTAGTGGCAATTCTTAATGTGTATTTGCTAGGAATGGACAGAATTTTCTGGGAGGCAAATAAACCAAGCACTGAAGTGTTACTGTTAACCTAATAAAGTGGAATACTCTAGAGTTTACAGGAAGAGGTGTCTGGGCATGAGTAATACAGAATATTTGTGGAACTCCCTTAAATCTGTGCTTCTAATTTGACATACCACAGTACTTTCGGTTGTTTACATACACAGGTTTATTTGTAAAATTAAATGAGTAGTAAAAAATCTCAAAACAAGAACAAATAAAATTTGCAAAAAATGTATTCATTATTTTAATGCAAAAAAATCAGTGACATGCTTAGTCAGGTCAATGATCTGACACAACATTCTAAAAGTGCTGTGTCTTTCTCAAGCCTTTTTTATCTGAGTAGGACACACAAAATTCTTGGTAATTCCCAGACATACAGAAAGTGACTTTATACTGTGAAACAGATATCAGACCCTTTTGGTTTCTTTGTTCTATGATTTAATTGTTTTAAATGTCACTTATTCTGATTTCCTTGGATTACTTTTCATTTCTCTATTTTCTGTTTTTATAATTCAAGCATTTTTAACTGTCTTTTTGAAAGCAGTGGGGAAAATTAGCAATGCACACTGTATCACCAATATTCCCAGGGATATAATGGGTGTTGTTTTCTTATTTATAGCTACAAAAAACAGTGAACAAAGAGGTGTCTGAGTCAGAAGAAATTCCTACCAGGAGCATAAGACTTCAGATATCTTCTGTGAAAGAAGAGTGAGAGTCATACCTCTTTTGTTCATTTGTTGGGTTTTTGTTGATTTAGCTTTTTTTAAATACTGATAGTGTTTAGAATGTCCTTGGCAATACTAAATATTGGTTTCTGAGGAAACCAAATGCTGTTTTGTATTTGCATGCATGCAGACTGGGTTGTTACAGTCTCCAGGTTTTTATTCCACATGCCTGAAAGTCCCAAATTAGTAAAATGCACCCACCTGGGATTTCCTGACACTACAACACAACAATTGTGTCTTTCTGTTGCACTCCCATTAAATTATATAAAGCTAAATAAGTATTGGGTGGTTCCATGTGCATTTGCAAGGTGGAATTTGAAGTATTATAAAGCAAATATGAATTACAGCCAAAGAAACTATAATCCCTTATAATTCCATGCTGAAACCCACAGATTTATAGGAGCAAAGTCTCTCAGTCTTTCATGTCAGAATTCTTTTTAAAGTTGGTTCAAACTTAGCTACAAGACACCACTGCAAAACAACGGTAATTTCATCACACTAAATTCAGTTCAACAAAAATAATACTTAACTGTGATATCAATTGGTTCATAATTTTAATCAGGCAACCTGATGTTATCTAATTTCCATCTGTCTTCTAATCTTTGCAAAGTGTTGATTAAACTGGCCTGTGAGTACCATGTATAAACCCAGTACACTGAAGTAAGACACCCTTTTTCCTACCTTTTTGGGAAGAAAAGTTTTTGTGTAGATTAGGTGAGATGGCATCCAGGAGTGCTGCATTTAAGAGGAATAAGCACAGCAAGTTCCTGGTTGCACCCATCTTGTCAAGAGATCCCGGTAAAACCGAGCATTAGAATTTATACTCTGCACTGGTGAAAGGCTGGGGGTCCCAAGGTCAGCCTGGCCCATGCTGTGTCTGATTTATTATGCTGTATTTTTTATGATTATCTGATCTTTACAGGAGGATTACATAGGAGTGGTAAAATTTTAGTTTCCTAGATAATTTGTGTTACTAGGAAGAAAAGTAACTCTATGCCAGCCAAGACCATAATATAGCTTTACTTTAAATTATCTTAACTGCATGTGCAGAGTTACCTTTGGAACCAGACTGGTGAATAAATGTGTTTCTTTGCCTCAGACATCCCAGTTTTATTTATTTATTGCTCATAGGGAATTGCTTGATTACATAGACTGTAACGTATTGCAGGATGAGGCAGCAAATTCATAGCAGGTTTTCTCATAAAATCTTCAGCAGAGAGTCCTGGTCTCGTAAATATTTATATTTTAGTTCTCCATTTGAAACTGTAGGTTTGTTTCCCTGCTGTTTGTAGACAAAAATCATGTCATAAATGGGATTAAGTAAGGAATCAAAAGCAAATTCATGCCAATTTTTTGTAACATACCCTAAGTGGACCTCACCTTCAGGCCTCTGTAGAGCTTGTTCTGCTTTAACAATGTCTCCCCTCAATCTACAGCTGTGGTCCTCAGTTGCATCTGCCAGCAGCACCCCCTTCAATCCCTTGAATCACACAGGTTATATAAAAAAGACAAGAATTATGGGTTGAAATCTGAAGTCCTGTTGAGCTGGTTTCCTTGGCTGGTCTGTGTGAAGTCTTAATGGAGCTGTAGATGACTTGGGGGCACGACACGCACAGACCTGTCTGCTGGGGTCATTATATTTCATTTCTACTGCTTCTGCTCACCTGATGAGGAGAAATCGAGGTCAGACAGAAACAGACCAGTTGTTGGTCTAATATTCTTTTCATTACAGCCCATCCAGGTTGTATCTCTCTGTTCACTTTAGCTACAAGACCAGCTGCAGTCAAACTGGAATAGTTGGACATGCTGTATTCCTGCTGGTGTATTCCAACCTTCCTTCTGTAGAAAAGCATAGCTTGGGTCCAAAACAAGGGGAGTAAAGAATGATCTTCCTGAAAAGGTTCACAGTGCTCAAATGGAGGAAAGAAGGACAAAAGGCCAGAGTCCAGAAACAGAATCTGAAGCTGTTAAAGCCGTTACTGAGAAGAGCAAACAAACTGGAGGACAATGGTAAATACAACTGATTGTACTCACATGTTAATAAAGAAATGGAAGCCTGAACATTGCTATTCACAGCTCTACTGCTCCTGACTGTCTGACAAGAGTGAAAACAATACCATGAGCTCAGTGGAGTGATCATACACTGTCATTGGTGGGGGGTTATGAGGTCAATCCTGCTTCAAGATTCTTGAAAAATGAGCCAGACTTGTCTCAGTGGTGCCTGGTGGCAGGTTGAGAAGCAGTGGGCATGAATTGAAGTACAGTAAACTCTACTTAACAAAAGGAAAGAGAATTCCACTGTGAGACTGGAGAAGCAGTGGAATAGGTTGCCCAGCAATTTTGTAGATTCCTCAATTCTTTAAGATGTTCACAACAACTGGGCACGGTCCTGAGCAGCTTGTTTTCTTTGA